AAGCCCTAAGCCCTAAACCCTAAACCCTAAACCCTAAACCCTGAACCATTTCCACAAGCCTGAGGCCGCTCGGACTATTTGGATTTGGCCAACCTGGCTCCATTTAAATTACTTAGAAAGGATAATGGAAAAGCAAATGGAAACTACTATAATGGGTTTTATAGTGTATATATTTGGGGTTATGGTATAGTGTTTCTTAGGGATAATGGAAAATAAAATGGAAACTACTATAGTATATTAGGGTATATTGGGATAGTGGAAAATAAGATGGAAACTACTATAGTATATTAGGGTATATTGGGATAATGGAAAATAAAATGGAAACTACTATAACGGGCTCTAGAAGAACTAGTGCCCTTTTGCCCTTTTTATTTTGTGGTCTCCTTACTAAGATTGAACAGTAGGAAAAAGGGTACCCTTATTATTAATCGGTTACTGGGGAACCTAGGTATTGAACAGGGATGATGGAAAAGACCATGGAAACTACTTCATTATAGAAGGGTATGTCTTGGCGTTGTAGTAGGGAGTAAGGGTACATGCTATACAGGTACTATGTTTCCGTATTCCCTACTAAGAACCGCTAAGTTTGAGAGATGCAAGCATCAATGCACCAAAAGCCCTGGACCTCAACTGACTTACTGGTTCTTATAATCCCTATATAACCGCACCCCTATACAAATACATATCCTCGTTCCTCATGGGTTCCCCTAGTACCCCCTCTATACTACCCGCCTAGGTTCCCCCCTAACTGAAATTATTTAGGGCCTAAACCCTAAACCCTACAGTAAGCTGAAAGTGGTGTGCCGGACAACTGGCTTACAGTCTAGACGTAAAGCAGGCAGGTCTGATTATCATGTCAACGGTATTCTAAAGGTAGTTTCCGTTTTCTTTTCCATTATCCTTACACCCTACGTGGTAATTGTTAGTTTCCATTTTCTTTGCCATTATCCCTAACCCCTATAAACCCTGAACCCTGAACCCTAAACCCTAAACCCTGAACCCTAAACCCTGAACCCTAAACCCTAAACCCTTGAAAACCATCATGGCAGGGATCCAGTGGATACCAGCGCCGGCTTCTACCATCCCCAGGAGATCCCTGAAAACGACCAGGCACAAGTCAGCTTTAGGGTTTAAGGGTCAGGGTTTAGGGTCTTCCAGGGCTTACTCAGATCTATGCATGTCCACGCCGAGTTTTTGATGGAGGCTTCTGGGGATGGCATGGTCAGATTTCAGTGAAGCGGAAGATTTGCGCACCAGATTCCCGAAGTTGTTCCACTCCGCGGCTTGTTTACGTACGCTGCCAACGGTAGAGCAACCTACTTTCCACGATGGATCTTCGGCTAAACACCTCCTCCTAAGAATCAACGCCCCCCCCAAACCCCCCAACAACATATATTCCCCCAAATGTATGATGATGTTATATGTTGTGGTTGTTACTGGGGGAGGCTGGAGAACGTTCCTGCTTGCCAAGTTGCGATGTCCGCTTTTTCGAGCAGGGAAGCATCTACCTGTAAATGTTAGGGCATATGTGTGGTGCAGTAGTGCAACTGAAGCCTTGAAGCAGTAAGACAGGGATTGTGCCAAATGCGGTTTGCTGGGTAGGGCTTCGGAAACATTGAGCGAATGGAAAACTTGAGGGTCCTTTCTGCGCGCGCGGCGTTCACGCATGCAACGTTGCAAGCGCGACGTGTGCTTTGAGAGTCGTTCCCTTACAACCATCGTCTGCACATAATTTATGGGGCCTCCCATTCTCCAAGCACTTGCTTCCCCCCGAAAGGGTTGAGAGGCACGCTTTGTTGCTATAGCGAGCAAGAGCTGCGGAACCAATCACCTTCCATAGCTTCATGTATCATGAAGCTTTCTGTTGTAAGTCATTTTGGGGGGCTCCTTGGACTCCGAAGGAGGGAGATGGGGACTGCAGCGCATGATAGCCTCGGGTCAACTCAACACAGTTTTCGGTGGTCATTTCCTGAAGTTCAGAGTTCAACACGAAGTAACATTCGCTATTGTTGGGTTAGTCATCCAGGAAAGGATGAAGACAAGGATGTGACGAATTCCTCACTTGGCAAATTCAAAGTAGGCGTCTGCGTCAGAGCGGAGCAGGGACACACGGCAAGAGAAGCATGATGAATGGTGCAGCAGTAGCTGTGGTAATGCAGGCGATTGCGATACAGCGCTTCATCAACAAGAACATCGGGACCGCTGGGCTGTCGGGATATGGATCTATATGCAGTTAATGGAGAAAATCCTGACCACCCGACAGAAGTCCCCCAAATTTTGAGCAAAATAAGGAACCCAGAGTGATGTACAGTAGCATAGAGGTAGAATGGCTAAGATCTAGAGGGAAGTTCAAAGATCCCAAGGACCGCTAGATGAGTTTAGTAATCTACTCAGGAGCGTCGGATTTGAAGATCAAAACTTTTGAGCTCTGCAACCCCAGGCCCTTCAAGCATGCATGGAAGAAGGGTTTCAAACGGCGTCCAGTGTCTAAGTCTAAATCCTAGAACCTAGACGAAAAAACCCTCAACCCTAAACCCTTCCAAGGAGATCAAGGAGTAAGCCATCATATAACCCTTATATAATCATATAATCCCTATTTAATCCCTATAGTTTCGATTTTCTTTTTCATTATCCCGATATCTTAATTGGGTATCAAGCATTCATTTGTCATCAGTTTCAACCTTCTGAAGCTCGGCTCTCCTGGAGGCAAAGGCGTGCAAGTTAGATCTAGAACTGCCACCGCAATGCCAAAAATGTATGAGGCATTCAAGCTTCGTTCACTGGATTCGTAAGAGGTCCAAAGTGCTTTCAGATGATAGACATGTGATGCGCACCTAGACGCCTGGAAGCTTGTAGCAGTAAACCCTAATTGTAGGATCATGTTCTCAGGACGTTTTGTAGTCTTTGGAGAGCTACTCTCAGTTGGCTCGGGATTGGAGGGAATGACGCGTCGCCAGCGCGCGGTGACTGCAGGGCTAAACATCCACGGTGTAAAGCATATGAGTTATGGTCTTTTCTCCTTAAAGGAGGGTTATACAGGGAGGTTATGTATAGGGGATTTTATAGGGGAGCATTAGGGGTTATTTTGTGTTTCGTATGCGAAGTTAGAATGACAACTTCTTAGCTTCAGGTACAGATATGTTGATCCCATGCGGATTACAGGTGATGGATTGAATCCGTATGGATTCAGTAAGATTTTTCTTTTTTTGGACTTTCCTATTTGGTGGCATTCCACCTCGGTGAGAGCCCCATTCTGCAGCTGGTTCATCCTGAAGTGATGACCTCGTGTCGATTGAACCATGGACATCACTGACATGGATTGGCAGCAACTGCGTCCTGAGGACATGAATATGTGGCACTTCATGTTTGGCCAGAAAGTGGCCCGATCTGGGCTATCAGCGAGGCCTTCCCTGCACGACGCGGCCTCGGACTTCCTCAAGAATTTGACGTCCCACCGGATCGCAACACTTGCCCCCAACCCCATGCCTGCCAGCTTATGTGGCTTCAACGGAAGTCACCTCCCCAATCGGGTGGCAAATTACTTGCCGTTGCTCGGCAACATTCTGTACCGGGACGTCCAGCAGTTCCCCCCAGGCAACTTCCCTTACAGAGCCTTTGCGGAACTCACCGCGGTACATCAGTTGCTCCCTCCTCTTGGCCCTCGAGGTGGCGTTGGACACCGGATACAGGACACATGACCAACTGCGCCCCTTTATGGCAATACATGAACTCGGCCATCCTGGACTGCGCGTGCTACACCCTCGCAACGCAGAACAGGGAGCCCTTTGCAAGGGACTTTACCAACCACATCGTCTCGGTGGGCCCCCGCAACCGGTTCGAGTGGCGCCAGTGAGGACAGCTCAGTCGGTATTCCACCTCGGTGAGAACCACACGAGCTGCACGCGCAGGCGGAGCCTGTGTGGCTCCCAGATAGTAGTTCGCATGACCATTTTGCTTTCTTTGCCTTGAGCTGGGCCCGGCCCTAGTGGTATTCCGCCTCGGTGAGAGCCCGGGGTTGTGGCCCCTGTGCTGTAGAGCGGCGCAGCAGTGCATATAGCATCTCACCGCGAATAGGCCGCGGCACTTCGGTGGCATGAATTCAGCTTGCCACGCGTATTCCGGCGCTGGCCAATCCCCAAGTATGGTATGGATCTTAGACACCTGCTCGACGGGACCTCGACATAACCCTTTTTTTTCCGGGGCGAGTCAAAAGTGCAGCCTTATCACGATCTACCAGCTGCAGACATTCCAGCGGTGGCCCCTTCTGCGGACGCTGATGATGCAACTGCTGCACACCGCGTAACGAGCACATCACCCCAGTAGATCCTCTAATTTGCTACCAGCATCTGACAGACACTGAAGTGCAAAGACATGCTATGTGTCCTCAGCATCCCGGACCGCTGCGTAGACATCCCATCAGTACATCCTGCTTATCATTAGCACATCCATGGCCGGCTCCTCTGACGACGTGCCTCTGCTGCACCGCGCCTGTGCTAGCGCCGGAAGGAGTGGCGCCGCAACAGGTGTCCAATTACGATGCGGGGCACGTCAGCAGCACCCACAACCGTGCCCTGGAATACGTGGCTCGACAATGGGCGCTGGACAAGCTCTGCTTGGAATCCCTGAAGCACCGCTACCCCAGTGAGACCCTCCAGGATGTTGCCAAGCGCTGGGTTCCATTCATGACAAGGTCCGGTAGCACCGACATCAACCGGAACTCCATGTTGGACCGGGCATACATGCAGGAACTGGGGACAACATCGACCGCGCAGCAGAGTACCTCGACATCCTGGCCAAGGAGGGAGAGCATGCGGATCGCCACCTGTACCTTGACTGTACATTCTGCGGCCTTATGTTCCCGGTGGCTTTTCGGTCTGCGCCCCGACGGGTCGGATCAATGGTGATATAACACCTTCGATGTTGTTATCAATGCGCTGCCGGCACCAATGACGGTTACGTCTGGCGCATGGAGCATCTGAACCTCAGCCCGGCCATAGCAGATCAGCCCGGCGCAGCAGTGTCGCGTGGCCGCTTGCGGTACCATAATCGGAACAGAGAGCGTCGAGGAGTATGACGCGGACTTCACACGGAGACCGCGCGCCTGGACCATCGCCCTCGACAGCAACAACCAACAGCAGCGGCGGCTACATGTGGAAGCTCTCTGGGACAACAACAAGCTGCGATGGGTGTGTCACACCGTTCTCACCCCCACCGGGGACAGCAAACAACGCACGCGGCTCACCATCGATGCCTGGTATCAGTTATGCCAAAAGGAAGATAAGCGGGACAAGGTGAAGGGGCTGTGAACCAGTTTGTCTGTATCAGAGGTACAGCGATTCATCTAATCAGTGGAAAATTCTATTCGAGACCACAAGAGCAGCCATCATTGTGAGAATGATTGGAAAACAGCGCGCTCGGCTGCTTTTGTGAAACATCTTGTTGCACTGGTTGCATAAAAGGCTTTAGTCTGGAGCGTTTAGTTGTCAAACGGGATGCTCGGAGTTTAGACTATGGCTCATATGGCCCCGAAGTTCGACAAAATTGCTTGCACAACAGACGTCGTGCGTTTCAGCAGATCGGCACTGCGGGTTTGGCTAGCTTAGCCTTGCACATCGAAAACGGCGTCTCATTTTTGGGCTGCACTGATTTGAATGCTCGTCTGCGTGTGGTCGAGGCTGACGTGCTTCAAAACAGTCTTGCATTGGACCCCCTGATACCTTTTGTCATCCTAGCTAGGACTTCCTGATGGCAACCCTGTTGATTCCAAGAAACCTGACCGCCCTTCTCGTCATTAAAACATCTATCTGTCAGGCCACGCCTGAACAAATTCTCCAAGGCCGTGGGGGTTTGATTACGTTGAAATTCTTAGGGGTGGCCAGTTGTAAGCATCGTAATCCTTGTCAAGCCCATATCTTGACTTCTTCAAGCGCAGGCAGCAAGACAGGCAGGAAAAACTAGGATAAGGGGAAGTCAGCATCAGGATGTTAATGAAGTTGCTCAAATTGCAATGGTTGCCGCTGTCAAGGTAAGAAGCAGCTTCAGCATAATTGTGTTGCTCGCGTCATTGAGACGGAAGGTTATGTTTGCGTGAAGGGGGGGCACTTGGAAGGGGGGAGGATCAACAGGCTCTTGTCAATGCCCTAGTTTTTGGCCCATGCAAAGGTCGGAATAGACGGCATCAATGATTTGGCCTCATCTTGCCTTGAGTTTCCAAGCCCAGTTGAACGTCTCGGAGTTTTTTTGGCATGCTTTGCATGACGTTGCGTCAGAAGTATTTCATCATGTAGGCCAAATGGCTTTGCACTCACAAGTTTCACAGGTTCAGAGCCTGAATATGCCTTGTAGACAGCTTTGACCATGTAGACTCTGTTGAAGATTGCGGGTGCTTGACCCTTTTGTCGTTTATTGCAAGCATTGGGGCCTGGTACAGAGAGAGAGAGGGAAAACAACAATGTCAGTCGTTGCAAAACTGGTAGTGGTCGCGTTTAGAGCCTCATCGTCAAAGGCAGAGAGGAAGAGGAAGTGGATGTAGCAGTTCGGATGCAGTAGGCATCTAGAATGCATCTCATTGATCAAAATCTACAGTTTTTCACATTTTGGGGTTTGTTGTTGTAGGTCCAACTGGCGCGGGCCCCGATATTCGTGCCTTTCCTGATACCTGGGTAAAGAGCTGCAAAGGCTCACCACCAAATTAGCCTCAGCCGGCAAGATTGTTCGATCCGTACTCAGTATCCCCAACGTCAGACGCTTGAAAGGTTTGCGCTCACGAACATAAATGACTGTTTGGCAGTATCTCCTGAACAGTATGGTTGTAGTTCCCAATTGTTGCCATTCCCCCCATATTATTTCCAAGTAATCCTCATAGAATGACTATGTAATCCCTCTAGTATCCCGATAGAATCCCTATAGAAGCAGGCTTGGGCAATCATTTAAGGTATACTCAGGCTCTTGGCGCACGTCCGCGTCTCGAAGTCCTCCTTTCTGTTTGTCACGCCTGGATCTATGGCTTGAGGTTTAGGGATAGGGCTGTGGGATCAAGTTGCCATAGTGAAGAATCAGCTGGAACATGAAATGAGAGGGCTTTCCTATGTTTTTGAGATCAACAGTACCTTGTTTGCACTTCTTGAGCTCTAAACCCTAAACCCTAAATCCCTAAACCCTCTTGAGCCAGAGCACTCAGCCAAAAACCTTGCCAGTCCTCTGAAAAGCTGACCTTGGAGCATGGCCTGAAAGCGAAAAAGTTTAGGCTCTAGGCTCTAGGGGCTTGTTTAGGGAATTGGGGTTTGGGGTTTGGAGCTTAGGTTTAGGGATTTAGGGTTTAGAGTAAGTTTTTAGTTTAGGGTTTAGGGCTAGTATCTGCATCATGTATGCTTTGGGCCGAGGTGGGTTCTTATTTAGCTTTTCCGAGGCCTATATGTAACCCGTTTGAGTACCTGACCGTTAAGGAAGCCTACAAAAGCTGTCTATACATGTACATATATGTCCTTTTACATCCCTATATTCCAGCCTACATAGCCCCCAGGTACCCATATAGCCCCTACACAACCCTAAGCCCTAAACCCTAAACCCTTGAAGCGAGGCGACTTTGGTAGACCAGAAGGGCCCAATCGCCTGGGTCATCCGTGAGGATGGCAGCAATCACGAGGCCAAAGGGCTGGGCCGTGCTTTCCATATAGGGATTATATAGGAGTTTTAATTATGGCGACTATATAGGGATTATACAGAGGTGATACAGGGATTCTGCAGGGGTTATATCCGGGTTATATAGAGTTTAGGGGTTAGATTGCCGTGGAGAATCGAATGAAAAAGCCAATGAAATGGAAGCTTGGGGTTACACAGTGGTTTCTTGGGGCGTCAAGGAATTTAAGCCAAGTTCTCAGAATATGGGCTCTTGCGACAAAGTTACCCCTAGTGAGGCACCCCTCATCAAAATTTTTATTGCTTGAGGGAAGAAAGGTTTTGACCCGTTTCTCGAAAAATACACAATATGGGTCAGAGTCCTTGCCTTATGCAGTGAGCATCATCCTTTGGTCTCTGCTCATTGTAGATTCGACCTCCAATTGCTCTGGGACTGCCTTTGACCAGGTCCCATCGAACCGCATGCTGCCCTACTATGAAGGCCATCCGCTGGCGTCTTTGTATGAGGGGTTTGAGGATTTTGGCTTTCAGATTTTCAGCTTCACAAGATTGATTCTCAGCGCCATTGGCCTTCACGCGGCTTGTAACACATCTGTCATGGCCAAAGCCCCAGGTTGAGAATCCATCTTAGAGGCTGATTTCAGAGAACATGCAATCTTGCGTGACAGTGCTGATTAGTGGGAAGCGTGGGTTGAAGACGCATTCATGGTACATGGCCCCCTTCTAGACTGTAGACCCTGCTGGAGGAAGAGTCTTACAAGAAATAAGACGAACACCTGATTGCAATGAGATTTTCCCTTTCGGAGGCAAGGGCCGTAGAAGAGCCTCGACTTCTCAAGACTGTGAGTTTCTTTTTCTGTGTGTTCTTGCTTTGGAAGTCCCGAAAGAGCATGAACTCTTCTTGCTAATCCTGTCTGAGAGCAATTCATGTTGAGATTCTGTACTACAGTTATTATACTGCTAGTATTAGTACCAACCACTGCAAAAACCATTAAATCATCTTGCACTCAGGCCTGCTCGTCTTGCAGGAGATTGAGGCGACGCGTTCCGCATTGCAACCCATGTGCGTGTACGTGGGGGTGTCCCAAGCTAGGGGTACTTCTATGGGTATCCCAATAAAAAGGACTTTAGTGACTAAAGTGTATTGGGTCTACTTTTGGTCCCGTGATTTTGGGAAACTACATGTTGCTCTGAAACTGGCACAGTTCAAGGCCTGTGGTGGTGCTTTCTACAGTAAAGGTCCCATGGATTATTTGTTGTGGGTTTTTCGCATATCCATGATAGACCCGCCTTGAATCTCAAAGCTACGCTGGGCCCACATCATGTTAAACACGGTCAGAAGCGATCCCAGACCCTTCCATAAGAACAACCATAACAATTATATCAGTACTAGCAGTATTTACTAGCATAGCAGTAATAACGCTAGTAACAACTATAACAGCAATGACAGCAATAGTAGCCACAACGGTAATAAAGTAAGAGCACTAACTAATGACTCAGGATATGGGGCCTGGCTTGTTCATTGAGGACAGGAGTTTTGCCGCATAAGTTCTAGCATTACGGCTGGGGGTTCAGTCTATCATTGTGACCCTAAACCCTAAACCCTAAACCCTAAACCCTAAACCCTAGCAAGAGGATCTGCCTCTGGGACGTAGAGTTACAGTATTGAGCCATGCAGCTAGGCCTCCCCGCGGGTTTTGTAGCTTTTTATTGGGTTCTATGGAAGTTTCAGGGTTTAGGGTTTAGGGTTTAGGGTTTAGGGCCCCTCCCTTAATCCCTGCATATGGCCCCGGCGGCGGTCCTTTCACTTGCCCCTCCTGCGCTCTGCCATTTGTGGTGTGGTTACGCTTGAGTCTTGGGATGCTAAATGAGGATTGTCATATGAGATTATTTAAAGAACTTATCCCGCTACCTGTTCTCACTACCATTATTGCTGTTATTGTCGTCCTTTTGTTGTCGAGTATTATCATCAGGTATGTTTATGACGGATGCTGAAGGATAGCTCCTGTAAGCTCATAATTAGGGGCCCCTTTCAAGGGGATGTAGCGGTTGTTTAGGGGTTACCCAGGAGGGGTTATCTAAGGGAGCATGTAGGGATTACAGATTAGGCCTGAGGGTCGACAGAGTATTGTGCTCACCATTGCCTTGAGCAATCCCCTCTTGCAGAAAAGCGCGCTCAGCGTGCTCATCATTGGACCACTCACTCAGACTGCAGAAAATGGTGAATCATCCCTCAGACTTCACTTGTAATTCCTCTATTATATCCTCAGGCCTGGATGACCGACTGTGGGTTTTCGTTTCTCAGATTCGAACCCAGTGGCCGGTCACAATAATGCGTAGAAGTAATAGTCACCACGCCTGGGGATTTCGGGAAGGGGTGCTGACTAGCTCTTCTCCTGCAAGTCCGGTCCCAACCCCAAAACCCTAAATCATTATGTAGTAGTTTCCATTTCCTTTTTCATTATCCCTATAATGCTAAATCACCCCAATATAGTGGCCTCACAAGACATTCCTATTACTGGGCCCGGAGCTTCGAGATTTGGGAGCGTTCGGGGTGGTAGCTGCGAACCATTGGAAGCTAAGACGGTTTCTTCAAGTTGTTTGCCTAGGGGAGGGCGCGCTAGGCTCCGAAGTCTCAGGGCTCTTAAGCATGTCAGCGTGAAAAGCA